GAGAGAGAGAGAGAGAGAGAGAGAGAGAGAGAGAGAAATGCTACACTGATAAAAGAATAATCTTAACGATAAATTCGGCATTACCGTTTATTCTTCTATACATATATAGATATTATCGAGGAAGTTAAGTGGTGCTATACAAATTATATTCTGGAGCAGTAGTAACAACTCGAAAAGAGAAGGACGACATACGAGTCAGAATTCCGCAAGACAATAACTCTGATTAGTTATTTCAAGCGTAATCAGTAAATAGTGGTGGTTCGATCACCCGACATGTCAAAGGTCACGTCGACGTAGAAGGAAGTTGCGACGACCACTCCCTCAACCCACACTTGCAAGACTGGTAAAGGATAAGCTCGGATTTTGGCGCATTCAGAAATTCGCTTTGATAATCAAATTGATACAAAGCAGCATGATTGTAAGGAGTACTGTTACAAATGGCTATTTGCCAATAAACTCTGATCAGTGGTTTTTTGATTGGCCTAATTGATGTGATTTAAGGATTGATTAGGAATAGAATATGATCGATGAACTATTCCATAAGTTTTTGATTTCTTAAGTTAATTAAAATTTTTGCAATTGGAATATTTTTCATTCATATTAATAAGAATATTTATTTGCTAAAATTTTCTTCTAATTGCCTGAGGAAATTTTTTAAAAAATCGACTTAAAATCTAATTTGATTTTCAATATTAGTCGTAAACACATATATTAAGGATAAATCTTTAAATGGATCTCGTAAGCAATACCATGCAACAGGCCTTGTATTCATTTGAAATGCATAATTTAAATAAATTACTGAGCTTTAACCATGCTCATTTAAAGTAGCTAATTAATTAATGACTGATTGCATATTCACATTATCAATGAGAAGGATTGTAGACTTCAGAAAAATCATCAACAAGGAATAATAGATGGGAAGAAATGGGAATATTACAGAGTTTTACTATTAGTGATAATATTCAAATATAGAAAATAAATAAATTATTAGCTATATTTCGGATATCTTCCAAAAAAAAACTCCAAAATTTATTTTAGTTGTCTAAACAATAAGTTCAGATATTTTAGTGTGGTGTAATTAAATATGATATAATATCAATTTAATATTAGCGACAGTTCAGCTCTCATTTTATGATGATAACAGAATCATTCATAATTGATAAACTTTAGCAAAGGTGGACGCAAATGAATGCTTTTCGGTGAATGCTTTTGTGCGAGGAAAATAAAAAACATGCAGGAATGAGTTGAAAATGATAACAAAATTATCACTAAATCATCTATCATTCGCATTTTTTTCGACAAAATTATTGACGCATCTGAAATAAAATAATCCCGATGTTTTACTCATCAATTAATACATTTTCCTGTTAAGTTATTTCAAAGCAATGAATAATTTTGAAATTTAAAAGTCTAACCTTAAAAGAACAAAGGAGATTATTAACATTAAATTAATAAATTCCTTTAATTTCCAGTAATACTTCTTTAAAAAAAATGCATATGTACCTTAAGCTTACTTTCAATTTTTAGGGCACAGCTCCCCAATTACTTATTTCATCATCCACCGTTTCATTCTCATTTGCTACAGTCATTTGATCTAAAAATTTTATTAAATTAAAAAGATTAAAGTATATGATCCTTAAAAATATTAAAAATAAGAATACTTTGGAGAGAAAAAAAATAACATAATCTTTAGTGTTGCCAATCTCGTTTAATCTTCTCAGTTGCATTCTTTTGTGCGGATGAATTCATAACTTCTCTGAATACTTCAATTTTTAAATTTTGCCAAAAATTGAAATTTAAAAAAAAATTCTATAAAAGAATAAATTTTACATTCATATCTTAATCCAATAATAAAAATTTAATGTGTAATGGAAGATATGTGATATGCATTCATTTTAAGAGTAATTTTTTGAAATGTCACATAAATGAAGAAATCATTTATATTAAGTTTTTTAATACCTTTTATTGTTAAATTCATTTTAGATTTAAAGAAAAATTGGTCCAGAAATGGGCATTACAAATTGCCATTAATTTAATTTTAATGCAGTTTAGAAATTATTATTGTGCAAATAATTGCAGTTAACTATTTCAGGTGCAAAATGATAAATTTCACAAGTTGTGTTTTAAAAACACAAATTAGAAGTGAGTGGAAAAAGTTTGAAATAATTCATTTCTCTCATATTCTCGTTGTTTTCTCCAGCCAATCCCTCCTTGAAGCATACTGGAATAAGTAGTATTATTATTAATTTTGATGATAATTAGCAGTGAAAGGATTGAATTCATTTTCCGAATTTATTCCTTACACGCTAAAACAGTTTAATTAATTAATTCATTCACTGAAACACAAATAACCAAAAAAAAGGATTTTTGATTTTTTTTTTTATTGGATGAATTGGATGAAAATTTGAATCAAACTTTAAATTTTAATGATAATTCATAAAAACTTTTTTTAAAACTTTTATTAAATAATTTCATTCTCATTTTTCTGCATATACGAATCAAAAGATAACGATCAATTACCTTTTGAAATGTTGAAATGTTTGCCGTAAAAATTATAGAAATTGTCACATTCATAAAAAATTATGAAAAATAAATGAGAATTGGTGATGATTGCAGTTGCCTTTGTAGAACTTAATGATAGTTCATTGAATATTTCTTTTAAAACATTTATTAAACAATTTTATTTTCATTATTTTGCATATATTTCAATGAATTGCATATTTTTCTTTTTTATTCATATTCTGTACCAGTTATGATTGATTTCATCAATTTTTTACATCAATCTGTAAGAGAAAATTAATAAAAAAAAAAAAAAGAATCTGTGATATATGAGAATATTGAAAGAAAATTTAATAAATCTTAAAGTGCAAAAAAAAAAAAAAAACGGGTCGATTTAAACAAACGATTATGGATAGTTATTCGTTCAAACGATTCTACTATGAAAATATTTGAAATTATTTCTACTTATTAGCTCATAAACAAAATAACCAATTTACATATTTCTTGCAAATATTTCTTATTGATATCATATTATAATTTGGAGAATTTCCATATATTTCGGATGTAAAAATTTGTTTCATCTGATATTAATTATTAAGCATTTTAAGTTCATGTAAGTTATGATGAATTCAAAGTATTTAATGATTTTTCATTGAAATATAATTCACTACCAAAATTAATTTCATTTTCATATCGTTGTTCAGTAAATGCGAAATAGAGGACGATCGTGCTCTGTGACCCTATTTGACCTATTTAATATGCCATTCGCTGTAAACACATAATACGATAAGGACTTTTATGAGATGTTTTCATGTGAACTTGAATTATTACTTATCTATTATTGGAATCAAATATTCATTATTTTTTTTTTTTGCTTTATATAATTATTAAATGTCGTTTGTTTATTTCAATATTATTTTAGAAAATTCGACGACGAAAAGATGTCATATAAAACAGTGAAAGAGCGAAAAGTAGAGGAAAAGCAGGCAGACAAACAGTTTAGAATGAAAGAATTTCAGGAACGTTCATCTTTGTTGACGTAAATTTATTTCTTACTTTTTAAAAATTTGTCATTAAAGTAAGATTTTTCAAGAACATATTAATTGATTTTGAATTAAATGCAAATTTTGTTTTATTAATAGTTCTTATTGAATTATTTACGATTTGCTTTCTGCTTTTAATAAATCATTTAAAGGTTAAATTATTCATTCGTTTTTTGAAACAAAACAATTTTACTTTTCATTTTCATGGAATTTTCAGAATACTTTTTTCTCAGACAGATTTGTCTTCTCTGAGGAATTTCTTTTGTGCAATATTTTTTTTGCTATTCTTGAAGACAATCTTTGAAGACAGTGTACATCACGGGAAGTAAGTTAGTATCGATCAGAATGTAACCGTTTAATTTATTGTTCCACATGAACATTTGATTTATTGGTTCACGTAAACGTTTCATTACACGCATTTAAAATTACATGGAGAAGAAGTAATCATATTAAATGTTATTACATCTAAAATACATCAATGTTACATTGGGACGATATCAGTGTCAATTGAAGAGCCAATAAAATATCATTTTACTTCCAGTCCAATGCATCATTTATGGCTCATAATATGGAATTTCAATAAATTGCCGATAACTTTAATATTTTGGAGTTTATTAGCTGGTAGTACATTATTCATTTATTATACTTTGCGATTTTGGAGTAATATACCATGCAAAGAGGTAAGTTAATTTGACGCTAAATTTATGAAAAAAAAAATTATATTGCGTTCTCAAAGAGAACATTATTGTAATTTATTATAATTTAAGTGAATGGAAGGTGAAAAAAATTAAAATTTGTGATGAAAATGTATGGATTTCTGAATAATTCCAATCAAATAAAAAAATTGAATTTGATAATATATTCCTTTGTTATCACTCACTAATTT